AACACATGTCAGCTTCAATGACCATTCTCTCATGCCAGCTTGGATCAGGGACTCATGATTATTGAATACAGGAAAGGAAGGCAAGAGAGAGGGAGGACCTGTGGCAGAACAGAATTCAGGAATGGGAAGGGACTTTGGAGCTTCTCAGAAGGGATCCTCAGACCAGCAGCATCTGCATCGACATCACCATCCCCTGGGTGCTTCAGTCACACACCTGAAGGTCTGCTGAAGCAGAATCCTCAAGTATTTTATTTAACAAGTTTCTCCAGGTATTCATGGGTTCATTTAGGCAGAACTGGTTTGGATCATTTTTCCTGTGACTCTCAACTGGGAGACTAGGTAAAGACAGGCACTGACCCTGTTGGTCTTCTAATGAACCTGAGATTATGTATTTCTTATTAGCTCCCTAAGGAATTGTGGTGCCCACTCAAGTGGGAGAACCCCTCTCTTAGGGGAGGAAACAGGTTGAAATAGACGGGGGGGGGGGGCAGTTGCAGGCGTTTTTCGGACATATTGTCTTTTTTTGTATATTTTTTCTTATACTTAGGATTGATTCCAGGAGTGTTCAACCTCTGAGCTACATATTCAGCCCTTTTGTTTGTTTGTTTTGAGACAGAGTCTTGCTAAGTTGCCCAGATTGGCCTCAAATTTGCAATCCTCCTGCCTCAGACTATAGGCACGAGCCACCAGGTCCAGCCTGAGATAATGTCAAATGGGTAATCTTAGAAATAAATTATGTTCTCTTCCCCAATATCTTGTTTAGACTTCATCCCCAAGTCATTCAGTCGTGTGTCTCTGTCCCAGAGCAGAGGGAGTTTGATGGATTCTGCACACCTTGCTTGCCCTGGGCTGCAGACCTGGCTCATTTCCTTGGATTCCACTGTTCTGTGACTGAGAGAAACAAGACCCTCTAGATTCCTGTGATCACTGCAGCCCCCTCACTAGAAGCCCTCTTTCTGTATGAAGAGAGCAAAGGTTCTATCCCAAAGCTGGCTTTTGGGGGGTAAAAGAAAAATGCAGGTTTCCACTGTGATTTTAAACTGAAGATCGTGCAAAAGAAGAATGAAACAAAGGGCTGGGGTTGTGGCTCAGTGGTAGAGCGCTCACCTAGCATATGTGAGGCCCTGAGTTCAATCCTCAGCACCACGTAAAAATAAATAAGTAAAACAAAGGTATTGTGTCCAACTACAACTGAAAAAATTTAGAAGAAGAAGAAGCATAAAGAGCAAGTGTAATTCTAAGTTCTGGTGTGGGCTGAGTGAATTGAGCGTTTTTGTTTTTGTTTTGTTTTTCTTAAAGAATGCATTTGTTTCTTTGTAGTTATAAATCAAATGCATTTAATTGTTGAAAATTAGAGAGAAAGTCTAAAGCTCTCATTATTGCACCACTCAAAAATACCTTGTTAAACTTGGTACATTCCCTCAGTCTGTCCCTGAACTTCACTCGACATCACAGCAATAACACCATCAAGAATCCTTTGTAATTGGCTTTGTTTCTCTTAATGGTACATAGTGATCCTTCACTCAAGTCATTTTTTCTCCCACTTTGTCAGTTTGCCAGGTGTTGTTTTGGATCATTGTGTTCTCAAACAGTTCTGTTCTTTGAGCTTTTTTTTTTTTTTTAAACCAGTAACCACTGAGCTACATTCCCAGCCCATTTTATTTTTTTTTTATTTGGAAACAGGGCCTCAGTAAGTTACTTAGGGCCTTGATAATTTGCTGAGGTGAGCCTGAACTTGCAATCCTCCTGCCTCAGCCTCCCAAGTCCTTGGGTTTACAGGTGTGTGCCACCAGACCTAGCCTCTTTGGGCATTTTGTGTCTTTCTCTTTTACCACTGCACCAAAGGAGTCTATCTTCATCTCTGTGCTATTCTCCTTAGGATCCGAGTTTAGAAGTAATAAACTCAACTGTTTTAAATGATCTTAAGAGTTTTGATGTACACTCTCCAATTGTTCTCCATAAAAATTGTCCCAACATATAATCCTTGTGCATGTCACTTCCCCTGTGTGCTCTGTTCTGCTCTGAGTAGTAGTATAAATTAAATGTTAATTCTTGTGATCCCATTATAGTACTCTTTTATCAACATATTTATTTATTTATTTATTTTGGTGGTGGGGGGCGGAGCTGGGAACCAGGGATTAACCCCAGGGGAGCTTAACCACTGAGCCACATCCCCAGATCTTTTTATATTTTATTTTGAGACAGGGTTTCACTAAGTTGCTGAGGGCCTTGCTAAATTGCTGAGGCTGGCTTTGAATTTGCAATCCTCCTGCCTCAGCCTCCTAAACTGCTGGGATTACAGGCACGTGCAACCATGCCTAGCAACCACTTTACATTTCTTTTGTTATCAATCAGCTTAACTTTTCATGTGCTTATTCATAATTTCTATTTGTTTCTGCATATGTGTATTAAATGACCTTTTGTTTCCCTTGTCATTTTTCTCCTTAGATGCTTTTCTTTTTCCATTGGTATATAGAAATCCTTCATATAATGATATTGTTCTGCAAATTGGATACCTTTTAAATTTCCTTTATGTTCTTACAACTTTTACATACTCAAATCTATTTTTATTTTATGCTTAGAGTAATTTAAGTATTTACCTATATTTTCTTTTATTATTTTATGATCTTATTATAAAAATGTACCCCTTGAATCCTTTTAGAATTTTTACAAACATGTTATTAATACAGTATGTACTTGTCTTCCTTCTCTCAAATTCTGAGCTTTTCCTGGACTGCCTAGAAGGTGTAGAAAAAGGAACATATATTGCTGATGAGACAGGGGAGGTGGAGATGGTGCTTTAACATGGTGAAGAGGATGCAAAAGGCCACTGTCAGGCAGGAGACTCCCTTGGCCTCTGAGAGAAGTCCAGAGTGGCATAGAAGAGCTGTAACTTCAGAGAAGGACTCCTGGCATGATAATGACAAGGCTCCCAAACACAGTCCCAATCCCAATTCCAGAGCTAGTCAACAATGGTGGCAGCTCCAGTCCCAAGGAACTTGGCTGCTGAATTCACAAACCATGAAATGGCACTGTTTTGGAAGCTGTGATCAGTGACAAGTGAGGTCAGGGGACACAGGAGTGGTAAAGCTGCTCAGGCTGTCATCTGTCAGTGTCTGTGGTCAGCTCAGTAATTGAGAGATGCTCCTGACCTGAGAGGGATGGAGATGAACTTCTAGAGGGCTGAAGGGCTGCAGCAGCTGAGCTGACTACAGTACAGAGAAAGTAGTCCACTTACCGACTAATCACTCGGTACAGCTCACACCATGTTCATTTTGATTTTATATATATACATATTACAATCATTTTTTTTGACTGCTCTGTTTTGTTCCCTATTTTTGTCTTTCTATTGTTATATGAGTAATATACTACTTCAGATAGTGTCACTTCATAATTAATATTAGACATCTTTCAGAGTAACTATTCTCTATTCTCCTTTTTAAAAGATTCCTAAAAGTACCATCTTAAGATTTGTTTAGTTTATTTATTTATTTTTTGGTACTAGAGATTCTACCTAGGGACCCTTTACCACTTAGCTGCATTCCCAGCCCTTTTTATCTTGAGACAGGGTCTTATTAAGGTGCTGAGGCTGGCCTCAAACTTGTGACCCTCTTGCTTCAGTCTCCTAAATTGCTAGCGTTACAGGCGTGTGCCACCAAGACTTGTTTATTCTACTTACCTCAAAAAGATGACAAGGGCAACTTGCTACTTTTCCTTATCCTACTGATTTCAATCTAGGTTAATTTCGTTTGTTCATGCAGCCATCAAATATGCTTTTATCAGCTAGGCATGGAGGTGCACACCTGTAATCCCAGTAACTCAGGCAGCTGAGGCAGGAAGATCTCAAGTTCGAGGCCAGCCAGGAAATGTAGCAAGGCTATGTCTCAAAAATAAAAAGGTTTGGGGATGTAGCTCAGTGGTAGTGTTACCGCTGTTTACCAGTGACGAGTCCTTGCTTCCCCAAATGCTGAAGTATAACACCAGAGAAGAACGCCGAGGCAAGTGTAGAGTGGAAAGTGGAAGGCTTTATTAAAGGATAGCAGAAAAGACACCCCCCCACCACCACCTCCAGGAAGAAGGGGATCCGAAAGGTGGAATCCGTGGAAAGAGGAGGTCTTCCCTTTTTTATATCTAAGCTCTTCTTTTGTCCTCCCACATTCCAGTCCTTTATTTCCTTCTATCCTGCAGTGATAGAATGCAGGTGGGAAGGCCAAAAGGTGGGATAGTTGTGGACCAAGGGCAGCAGGAAGGGCCTGGAGTGGTTTGATCAGTGTCTCAAAGTTTTATTGGGAGCTACTTCATTAACAGTTCTTAGGATGGGCCAGGGGCATTGGGGACATTAACATTTCAAGTTCCCCAGGGTTGTTCTGGTTTCCGGGACTCAGATTGGACTCCATTTTCTTTATTGTACTCGATTTACCTAACTACACTACTTTTCTTTAAATCTGGCTTCAGTAGTGTGGACCTGGGTTCAATCCCCAGTGCTGAGAAAAATAAAATAAAATTTAAAAATGCCTTTATCACCTTCAAAATGAAGCTCTTAGCCTCACTCTAATCTATCTTTTCTGTTGCATCTCCAGCTCAGCTTGAGCAAGACTCCAATAGTTTTCTCTTTGCCTCTGTGTCTTTTGTCAATGTTTTATTATCTTTATGAAACCCTTCCACCCCTTCCTTTCTGTCCTTTACATTTTACATATTCTATAAAATATCTTAAAACATCATCACCTTATCTGCAAACATTTCCCAAACTTCCTCTGTAACAAAATAGCATACTGTCATTATTGCTCTGTGATTTTGACAGGCTTGTAGCTCTTTCTGTGTGTTTTGTTTGTTTTAGTGACTTGCTAGGCCAGTTCCTTGGCTAGGTTGCCTGAAGGCCGAAGTTCCATCTTCAATAGCATTTACCAGACCTCAGCAGGGACCCTTGAATTTGACATTCAGTCAAGAAACAGCACCTGGATTTACTCATTCTCTACCCCTGACCTTTATCTACATTTCAGAAGGCTTTCCTGGCCAGCCTTATGGTCCTTGCTACCTTCATGACTGCATGCAATGCACAGTGCCATGTAATCGCTTTGGGCAAAGATCAAGGTAATGTGCATACTCGTTAGTCCTGGGTTTTCAATGCTTATTATGTTATTATAGCCTGGTAGGTATGGCCTATTGGTAGATGACAGCCTTTTGAATCTCCATGAGGAAGAAGGTTGAGACAGATATAGAAAAGGAATAAAATGAATGACTTTAATTTGCCCTGCATATAAAGCAGTCATTCTCAATTCTGGCTGGATGAGAATTGCCTAGAGAGCTTCTGAAACTTACCAGTGCTTAGGCCCCATCTAAAACCAGGTTAATCAGAATCTCTGGGGTTGGAACAGCATATTTAAAAGCTTCTTGATGGACTCTCAAATGCAGCCAGGGTTGAGAACCACTGCTTATTCCAAAGCAGTACTCAAACCTTCATGTGTGTGCCAATCTCTGGAAAATCTTGTTAAAATGTAGGTTCTGATTCAGTGCATCTGAAGCAGATATGAGAGTATCCAAGTTCAGAGTGGTCCCAGGTGATGCCGTCGCTGGTCCTTCAAGCACACTTGGATCAGCAAGGATCTAAGGAAGTAGTTCTCATCTCTGTTTGAACCTTGGAATCATTTGAGAGTTTTCTAGAAATATGGTGACATGGGCCCACACCAAGGGATTCCAATTTCAGTGTCATGGGGTGGGACTCAGACATATTTTTTTTTCTTGTTGGATGCTGGGGATTGAACACAGGGCCTCATGCATGCTAAGCACATGCTCTACCACTGAGCTACACCCCCCGGCCCATAGATGTTTTTAAGTAAACAAGGTGTTTTGCTTGTACACAGGGCTGAGAAACTCTTATGCAAAGCTAATGGAAGTGAAGAAGTAAATTATTTATCCAGATATGATCCAATAGGAAAAAGCTGGGCTTCAATTACCCATAGGCTCATAATAAATACCTGATTAAACAGGAGGGCCTGAGTTATTCTTGAAATGTCTGCTCCGAAATAAAATCTGGAAAGATTTAAACTTGGTATAAGAAAACATTATCAGGGTTGGGGCTGGGGCTCAGTGGCAGAGCACTTGCTTTCCACCTATGAGGCACTGGGTTTGATCCTCAGCACCACATAAAAATAAATCAATTAGATAAAGATATCGTGTCCATCTACAACTAAAAAATTATTAAAAAGAAAAGAAAAGAAAACATGATCAGTGACAAGGACTGCACAGTGCAGGAATTTAGCCATGGTCGATACTGAAGCATTTTCTTAAATGTCTTTAAAATTGCCTATCATCCCATGGCAGGGGCTGGCCTCCCTGTCCTGACAAGCCTTGTCCTTGTTAAGTGACTTAACTATTTTACTGATATGCGCTGTGTACTCTTTTAGAATGCAAGGATGTTAATGGAGTCACTCGCCTAGTGAACTCGAAATGGAGAAATTCGAACTGTGAGGAGTGTTACTGCAGTGAACATGAAATCAGCTGCTGTAATTTGTAAGTCTCAAGCTAATGGGGACCAATAGAGGGATGTGGCTGACTTTGATGAACAGCTATTACCTCTTTCAAAACACCATGCTTCAAGTTTTTAAAATAGACTTTATTTTTGGTACTGGGAATGGAACCCAGGGGCACTTTGCCACTAAGCTACATCCTCCGTTGTTCTTTTTCTTATTAAGACAGGGTCTCCATAAGTTGCTGAGGCTGACCTTGAACTTGGAATTCTCTAGCCTCGGCCTCCTGAGTCTCTGGAATTCTGGGTGTGAGCCACTGCACTCAGCTAAAATAGGCTTTATTTCTTAGAGGGTTTTGGATCCACAGCAAAATTGGAGAAGTACAGAGATTTTCACATACTCCATATACAGAGATTTCCATTTCCACACAGCCTCCCTTTTATCAACCATTTTGGGCAGTATCTTTATTCATTTTCTATAATTGATAAACCTGAGGGAACACATCATCATCACCCATAGTCCATCTTTTACATTAGGGTTCACTCTTGATTTTGTAGTGGGAGGAAGGGTTAGTTTTCAGTCATATCTCCTTGTGGTCATGTATATATAACATAAAATTAATCATTTCAGCTAGTTTTAAGCAGACTGTTTCAGTTGCATTAAGTATATTTATATTATTATAAATACAACCATCACTACCACTCATCTCCAGAAGTCTTTTCATCTTTTTTTGTTTGTTTGTTTTTGAGATAAGGTCTCACTAAATTGCTTGTGATCCTCCTTCCAGCCTCTTGAGCTGCTGGGATTGCAGGTGTGGGCTACCATACCCAGCCAAGTCTTTTCATCTTGCAAAACTAAAACTTTGTACTCATCAAATAATCACTCCATAATCACTTCTCCCACCCAATTCCCTCTCCCACCATCTCCTAGAAACCACCTTTCTGTCTCTATGAATGTGACTATTCTAGGAACCTCATTTAAGTGGAATAATATAATATTTATCCTTTCAAGATCAGTTTACTTCACTTAGCATAATGTCCTCAGTGTTTACCCATGTTGTAGTATATGTTAGAATTTCCTTCCTTTTCAAGGTCTATAATATTTCATTGTCTGTACATTATGTTTACATACTTATCTATTTGTAGGCACTTGGGTTGTGTTCCATTTTATTTAAATTGTTTTGAAACTTGGACAGTATCTCTATTCTTTATGTTTTGTGGTACTGGGATTAGACTCAGGGGTGTTCTACCACTGAGTTACATCCTCAGTCCCTTCCCCTAACTACTTTTTAATTTGAGATAGGGTCTTGCTAAGTGGCCTGGGCTGGCATCAAACTTGTGATCCTCCTGTCTTAGCCTCCTGAGTTGATGGGAATGCATGTGTGCAGAACCATTCTGGGCATTATCTTTATTCTTAAATATCTATTTTTAGATAGGTTCCTGAAGATAGGAAGGCTTATTCAGTCATCTGATGCTATTCTAGAAATTGCCCCAGTGGGTCCAGAGTGGTGTGGTACATGGCTGTATGCCCACCAATCCTGTAATCCCAGTGATTTAGGAGGCTGAGATGGAAGGATTCTAAGCTCAAAACAGACTGAGAATCTAGTGATTCCCTAAGCAAAGAGACCCTGTCTCAAAATAAAAAAATAAAAGTCTGGGGATGTAGCTCAGTGACAGAGTGTCCCTGTTTTCAATACCTATTACTACTACTACTACTACTACTACTATCAATAAAATAAATAATAATAATAATAAATAAAAAGCCTGGAAATAGCTCAGTGGTAAGTACCTTTAGGTTTGAACCCCAGTCTGGGGAGTGGGTGGGTATTGACTTAATGGTCATGTTGGCTTTGATGTTGGAGATTTGCAAGAATGGGAATGATCTGAGCAAAGGCAGAGGGAAGAGATGTGAGGTGTGAGGCGTGATTTGTAGTATGCTTTATACTGTAAACCCCATGTTGCTTTTCTGTTCAATTTGAACTCAAGGCAGCCAAAGGTGATGCAGATGTTTTCTGCTGAGTTGCTATGGTTGAAAAAGGCTTGTACGTGGGGAAATAGAACACAGAGTATCTGCAGTTTTGTTCATGCCAGCCACCCCGGCCCTCAATCCATCTGATTCTTCCTTCAGTCAGCCATGGCCTATAGTGTGTTGAAAGAACAAGACTGATTTTTAATTTTTCTGTTGTGAGAACTAAACCCAGGGCCTTACACATGCTAGGCAAGTACTCTACCAAGTGCTCACTGAGTTATACCCCCAGTGTGACAGGAGTGGTTTTGATGATGGAAGCATTGCTGTAAAGCATTCCCCAAACTTGCCTCTGAATCTGAATTTTATCAAGTGCCTCAGGGACTCTTATGACTACACCAGTGAGTAGAGGAGCAAGCTCTTAAATACCTGAGTCCTATCAAAATTTAATTGTCTGGAAAGTTCTGCTTGCATTGATTGAGCAGGACTCCTGGTAAATGTGAATCAAAACAAGAGGAGTATCAGACTGGGAAACTGGCCACCAGGCTGCCCGGAGCAAGCTTCCATGCATTGCCCTGGCTGGACTTTTATGTATTATAGCTGAATCTTGATTTTTGTGGTGCCAGAGATTTGCCTTTGTATCAAGTGTCTTTGTGGTTGAATCTATGATGAACAATTCCTCCCTCACATAGAAGCTCACATATATAGTATCCCCAGCTCCTCCAATAAATACTTAACTTTTTCTCTATGCTTTGCCTGTGTCTCCTGAGCCTAGGGGAATAACTGGCTCACAGTGCCCTTTTCTCGGCCACATTTTCTATTCTTTTGACACACTGCTCCACCCTAGAGAAATGTACTTATTTCTCCTTGCTGTTCAGAATCAACTTCCTTGGAATTGCTTCACTTCCTACCCATTCTATTTTTCTCATGAACTTAAAAAAAATTTTGACCATAACAAAAATATCAATTTTGATTAAGTTTTCTCTAGAAGAGTTTTTTGGGCCCATCACCCCTCCTATGGGATAGTGCCCAGATCTGGGCACTATCAGTGTCCAGAGGCTCAGGCAGAAGCTCCCCAGGCATTGCATGGGAGATGTCTTGGCACATGTTCTTTTGTCCAGGCCCAGATTCTCAGACTGCAGAGAGGGAGGCAAAGGACCAAGGTCACCCAGCTTCCAGCTCTGAACACCTGATTACCCAATGCTTGTAGTACCCTTCTCAATCTCTCTTTAAAAATTTTTTTTCAGTTGTAGATGGACAGATGGACAAAATATCTTCATTTATTTATTTTTATGTGGTGCTGAGGATGGAATCCAGTGCCTCACACAGTCTAGGCAAGTGCTCTACCACTGAGCTACAAACCCAGCCCCCCAATCTCTTTTAACTATTTTACAATTCCAATTCTAGTTTGAATTAAAATATACACCCAGGAATATGCCTTTTTATCACAGAAACTTGTGTCTCCACACAGTTGGTGGAATTTCAGAATTTCTTCCTCCTCCTCCTCCTCCTCCTCCTCCTCCTCCTCCTTCTCTCTCTCTCTCTCTCTCTCTCTCTCTCTCTCTCTCTCTCTCTCTCTCTCTCTCTCTCCTCTTTCTTTTTGTACCAGGGATTAATCTTAGGGGTACTTAACCACTGACAAACATCCCCACCCTTTTTATTTTGAGACAGGGTCTCAGTAACTTGCTTAGGGCCTCAGTACATTGTTGAGGCTGGTCTTGAACTTGAAATCCTCTTGCCTCAGCCTCCTGACCCACTGGGATTATAGGTATATCCCATCATACCTGGAGAATTACACAATTTCATTTCCTACCAAAATCTTGCAAAAGAAAGGTATTTGTTTCAATAAACACTACTTTATTTTTAAACAATTTTTATTGGAGTAAATATACATTACATAAAATTTTCCATTTTAACCATTTTTTTGGGGGGGGAGGAGTGCTGGGGATAGAACCTAGGAGGGCTCTACCACTGAACTACATCCCCAGTCCTCTTTGTATTTTATTTTGAGACAAAGTCTCACCAAGTTGCTAAGGATCTCACTAAGTTGCCCCAGCTGTCCTCAAACTTGTGATCCTCCTGACTCCTGAGTCACTGTGCCTTGCTATTTTAAGCATTTTAAAGTGTACAATTCAAGTTAGTGGTATTAAGTACATTCACAATATTGTGCAATCATCACCACTATTTCCAAAACTTTTTAAAGACCCCATTAAATTAACTTTAAAGGATAATTGCTGTATCCTTTAAGCAGTAATTTCTACTTCTACTCCTGTTACCCTCTAATCTACTTTCTGTCTCTATGGATTTGCCTGTTTTACATATTTCATGTGAATGAAATCACAATATTTGATTATTTTGTGCTTGGTTTATTTTACTACACATATTTTCAAGGTTTACCCATCTTTCATCGTTATATTGGTATGTCATTCTTTTTATATTGGAATAATTTTCATGGTATTGCTATACCACATGTTGTTTATCATTCACATTGATGGATAGTTGTTTTTGACTTCACTTTTTGTTTATAGCAAATGCGCTAGTATGAATGAACACTTATTTTGGAGTCTCTGCTTCCAATACTTTGGAGGCATATACCTGGGAGAAATGTTGGACCAAATGTAAATATTGTTTAAATTTTGAGAAACTGCCAAACTGTTTTCTAAAGTGGTTGCACCATTTCACATTCTCACCAACTAGTAATCACTTTTAAACATTAAACATTTACATTAGACGTTTAAACCACTTTAAAACATTAAACATTTCCCAAAACTTTCAAAGTAATACACTTAATTCTAGAACTATTGGAAAATACAGGAGGAAAATGTATAATCCTACTGCATAAAGGTGATAACTCTTAAGGTTTTAATTTCTTTTTGTCTTTAATTTCTTTTTATGTGTGTGGGTGTGTTTGTGTAGTACTGGGGATTTAATCCAGGGCCATTCTACCAGTGAGCTACACTCCCAGCCTTTTTTTTTTAAAATACGTTCATTTTATTTATTTATTTGAGGATCAATCCCAGGACCTTGCATGCACTAGGTGAGTGCTCTACCACTGAGCCACAACCCAGCACCCCCCACCCAGCCCTTTTTCATTTGTATTTTGAGACAAGATTTGTTAAATTGTTGAGGCTGGCCTTGAATTTGCTATCTTCCTGTCTTAGCCCCCTGAGTTGTTGGTGTTACAGGCCTGTGCCACTGTGTCTATTATCTATGCTTTTTTCCTCTCCATTTGCATAGTAGATATCAAACTTTATATTGCAGTTTTGTGATCTGAATTTTCCACTTAATATTCTAACATTAGTACTACTTTATCTTATCAAAACTCTTCAAAATATCAAATACTATCACTTTCTCATTCCTTTTTCTTGAAAAAATATTAAACCAGAATTTTTGAGCCAAAGGTACCATTCCAATGTTTGCTTCCACTCATGGGATGACATTCCCACGGATTTGAGCTGTGATCAATCCTTTAGGTTCAATGCCCAGTGCTCTGGTTGGCTGTGAGCTGACTTCTTGCTATCTTCTCTCATGGTACCACCATGGGCTACAAATCCAGACATCTTGGAGACAGATAATTAAGGACTAAAGAATGACACTGATTTAGGCTAGCTTTAAGAAGAGGATGAAATGTCCTTTTTAGTGAAATACAAGTCAAGGGTTTTGAAATGAAACACTGTCACTAAGGGCACTGGGGATGGCTGCTTCTATACTCTTTAGGCAGGGTCAATCAAATCCAGAGTGTATGAATAGACTTCAAAGGAGCAGTGAGCCCCAAAACTGCACCAGTGAATGTGTAGGTAGATGTTTCTGAGAAGGTGATCTTTAGTTTTCATCAACTTCTTCTTGGGCCCTATGACCCTGACCTGGGGTACCTATTTGCTTCTGTTAGTTGAGGTAGCTCCTCTCCTAACAGGCTGCTCTGCTAGGGCCAGGACAACTGCTCGCTTCCCACTTTCTAGCAGCATTGCTACTGGTCATTTCCTGAACAGGGAAGGTATGTAGGGATAGACTGGAAGAAACTGCCCAGCTCCAGAGAAGCCTTACCCCTATCCTTCTTGTATGTAGGTTGGAATGTAGGACTGAAGTTAGGAATGGTCTATGTGACTTGATAATATGGGCAGGTCCAAGGACATGGAGGCCAAGCTTTGGGATGCTAGCCAATGGGTTCCCTCAACTTGGCAAGGAATATGGTTTTTTTTTTTTCTTGCACAGAGCTGAACTGGGCAGCAGGGTAGGGTGGCTAGTTGTTCTTCCTTCTAATGGTTCTTGGTCTTGTCTCAATGACAGAGTTCTTGAACCTACTGGTTTTGACCCCAAGTGCGAGAAAATCTTTCACAAGTCGAACTGCAGCTATACTGTGGTGGAGAAGAACAACCCAGGAAAGCCCTGCACTGTTAGCAGTTGGGTAATATAATATTCTTCTAATGCTCCAAGCCTGTCAGGGCCCAGGCCCTTCCAGGATAGACCTCATTCACCTATGGCCTCTAATAGCCTGTGATTTCCTAGCCCTACCAATCAATAAAAAAATATTTTGAGCAAACACTTGTATTGTTTTCACTGATTTAATATGTATTATAAAGCATACAGATATTCAAAGGAGATAAAAATAAATCAAGTAAAAGTTATAGTATTTGTCTTACACTCCAATTGGTCATCAGGCATATTCTTCTAGGTGGACCACTGCTACTTTTGCCATTTCTGATATATTACTATTCTGCTGCCTGTGTCTATTACCTGGTGGATGGAGGGAAAAACAACAACAAATATGTCTTTGAGATGACATCCAATTCTTTAGAGGTGTTCATGTTTAACTTCTGTCTTCTTGTTTAGGCAGTGCCTTCGCTGCTGTTCCACATCCCTCAGTGTTTGCCTAAGATTAGAGCAAGGTAGCAGGAAGTGCCCTCCTGACCCTGGGGCAGTCTGACAGGGAATTCAAAGGCCAAGGCGCTGTCTGGGTGGAGGAGAATGGCCAGGTCAATGACTCCAGGTCAATGATCAGTTATCAATTGCTGCATACATACCACCCAAAATGGAGTGACTTGAAACATTGGTTCTCTTTACAATTTCTGTGGCAGAGAATATGTGTTTACTCAACACTGTGCTGACTGCCTGGGCCAGACAGTGTGCTGGGCCTGGGGATAGAGAAGTGAATCAGAGAAATCAAGCCCCTGCTCTCCCACGGCTTGGAGTACACATCACAGATCACAAACAAGCACATCCATCTGCTAAATAACCCATGAGCAATTGATGAAGAGCTGTATTTCCCCTACCCCTGATCCAGTCTGTTCAAACATGTGGATCTGTTGAGCAATCTAGGCAGTTCCCCTTGGCTTTTTCCACACTCTTGAGTAATAAGAAATTGCTTTGGTTCCTTTAGTTACATAAAAATCTCATTCCAGAGTCAGCATTTTCATTGAAGACAGAGTGGGGGACAGGAGAGCAAAGGGCACAATGCACTCTTGGCTGTTTCTGCTGAAGAGGTGATCACGACTGGCTTCTTCTTGGAGCTTTTTGCATCAATATGCCCAGTTCAGAAAGAGTTTCATTTTGCTGGGTGTGGTGTTGCACATTTATCATCCCAGGGACTTGGGAGGCAGAGGCAGGAGGACTGGAAGTTCAAGGCCAGACGGGGTGAACTGGTGAGACCCTGTCTCAAAATGAGAAATAAAAGAGGTCTGGGGATATAGCTCAGTGGTAAAGCATCCCCAGATTTGATTCTCAGTACCCCCCACCCCATCCTAGTTTAACATCTGGTCACAAATCAACAGGAGTTGGGAGTGTAGCTCAGTGATAGAAAATTTAATATGTACAAGGCTCGGCACTGACATTGGGAGAAATATGAAGAAGGTATTGCAATGGTGGATGTGAAGAATTGTGTGCTATGATACAGTGCAAACAATCTTATATTTTGGAGTCAGATGATATAGAATCTGGGCTGACATTTATTCAGTTCTTTTTTAAAAGAAATTGTGACAAAATTTACATAACATAAAATGTATCATTTAAACCATTTTTAAAGTATGTTCAGTAACATCAACTATATTCATAGTGCTATGCAACCATCACCTCCATCCAGCTTCAGAACTTCCCATCATTCCAAACTGAAACTCTAAACCTATTAAACAATAAGTCTACAAAACTACCTGCTCTGTCCATCCCTGGCAAACAACATTGTCTTTCTGTGTCTAAGTATTTGACTACTCTATTAATGGGCACCACAGTAGAGTTGATAAGAGGAATAAATTATAATGTCCTATAACATAGTAGGACAACTGTGGTTGACAATAACTAATTGAATATTTCAAAATAGCTAGTAGAGAGCATTTTCAATACTCCCCACCAAAAAAATGATGTTTTAGGTGACAGATATGCCAATCACTCTGATCTAATCACACATTGTATAAATGTATTGCAAGATCACGCCGTATGCCATAAATATGTATAATAACTATGCATCAGTTAAATTAGAATATGTTTGAAAAAAGAATTTGACTAATTACAACATAGAAAGTGGAATTATATGCTATATATTTTTTTGTGTCTGCTGACATTTATATTTACATCTGAACGTCAAATATAAATAATATTTATCTTGTGGGGACATTTGGTGTTAGAGAATCACTTAGCATAGTTCTCTACATAGCATTTACCTTCAAAAATGTTTGCTTCATTTAACTTGATGTATTCGCTAGAGGTGTAAAGGACACTGATCAAGGGCAGGGAAAAGAGTGTGCCTGCACTCTGTACCCTCTAGAAGGCAGGCAAGAGCTTTGCGCTGACCCGAGCAGAGGTCTCGCGAGACTGTCAGAAGCGTGGCGAGAGGCGTGGGAGGAAGGTTGTGCTCTCGCGAGAACTCTGCCTTTGGGCCCAAGACTTGTGTCCGCTGGTGTCAGTCCAACCAGGGTACCCTCGGGTCGTCCGGAGAACCTCTCCGAACTGGTAAGAACTGGACCTGGCTGGGCGCGCACGTCTTCTTCAGTTCTCACTCCGCGAGCCCAGCGGAAGCCGGATGGTAGCTGGCGTGCTGGGCCTGGGTCTACCCTTCCTGGTCGCCCTTTCCTTCAGCACGCCGGTCTCGGGCCTGTCTTCTCCCTCTGGACACGCAGGGTCACTGACCACCTCATTCTGCCTGCCCGCGGGCTAAGCCTGACCTCCTCTCCCAGACCTTAGACTCGCCGGGCCCCAGAGCCACCTCCTTCTGGCTGCCAGTTGGCTGGGCCTGATCTCTCCCAGACTCGCCACTAGCGGGTCCCGGGACCACCTCGTCTTGCTTGCTTGCGGGCTCCCAAATCCTTGATATGTCAAGTCGGCCACCTCCTCCTCCTCCCCGCCCGCGGGTTGGTTCTGTTCTCTCCCAAACCCTCGACCCATCTGGCCCCAAGGCCTCCACTTCTTGTGAGGCAAGGGCCTGTCTTCTTTCCTCCCATCCACACGTGGACCTCGCGGTTACCACCCGCAGCCAGGAGGCAGGGAAGATTTGTTTTCCCCTCCCTTTCCCTACAGACACTCCTGGCCGCAGGGATCCACCATCTGTTCCTGCTGTGTCGCTTTACCCCAGCTTCTAGTGTGACCAGGCGGGACCTGTTTTCTATGCCAGAGCGCATCCATTCCCAAGGGATTGTCAGGTGGAAACGCAAAAAATGTGGCCCTATAAGTGCAGAACACAGTGTTACTTAACGTCCAAATAATCCCAATAATCTGGAAAAGTAGCCTGATTATCTCCCTTTTACAGATGAGAAGTTGCACATTCATGATTCATAATACTGGCAATCATTTATTCAGTGACTTTATGCTGAAGGTATTACGGATATAGAAATGGGGAAGGGGAAGGACACACTTCTCGCTTAGATAGAACTAAATTTTTGTGATGGGAACAACAATAATATAGTCTTAAGTGCCATGGGATATGACAGGGGAAGATATGATCAAGAATGACTCAAGTCAGGGGCTGGGGTTGTGGCTCAGTGGTAGAGTGCTTGCCTAGCACATGTGAGGCACTGGGTTCGATCCTCAGCACCACATAAAATAAATAAATAAAATGAAGGTATTGGGTCCAACTACAACTAAAAATAAAAAAGAATGATGGAAGTCAGTGTCTGACCCAAAGGGCAGAGCTTTCTTTACCCGGCCATTTCTGTTGTTGTTGTTGTTATTGTTTTCTAATTAGATAAGATTGACCATCATAACTACTTTCGGATGTACTTACTTTTCTATCATCTATTTGATAATTTGGAATATGTAGGACTCTTGAGTTACCACCTTGAGTAAGGATGGGACAGGTTCATAGTTGACTCACTTCTGCAGTGGAATCCTAATGTGACATTTCTGAACTTTAAAGTACATCAGAATTGTGAAAGAAAACTTACCTTGCTGCTTCAGTGAAGGGAGATTCATTTACTATCTGTGGTCAGAGGAGTAACTTGATTTGCTCTTTGCCTTTTTTGGGGGGAGGGATGGGGGATACTGGGGATCAAATCCAGGGGTGCTTTTCTATAGAGCGTCCCATCCTTTTTTTATTTTTTATTTTGAAACAGGGTCTTACTGAGTTGCTGAGGCTGGCCTCAAACTTCTTATCCCCCTGCCTTAGCCTCCTGATTGCTGGGATTGCAGGCTTGTGCCACTGGACTTTGCTCCAAAGATTTGCTCTTTTAAGGATTTGCTCAGTTGTATAATTGTTCAGATAAGTAAACGAGATAAAGTGTAAAGTCTAGCACAGTAACATCCCTTACATTTTATTTCTCTTTCCCCTCTTCCATAGAGCCTTTGCCCTTGGGTCTCTAGAGGATATTCTAGCTGTTTAAAGTTTTATTATAGTTCGTGTATCAACGAATCTCTATAATTACATTATTCCCTTTGGGAAAAGAATTATTTCAGGCTTGCTTTTTTATTTTTTATTTTATGTTTTTTGAGAGAGAGAGAGAGAGAGAGAGAGAGAGAGAGAGAGAATTTTAATATTTATGTTTTAGTTTTCGGCGGACACAACATCTTTGTTTGTATGTGGTGCTGAGGATCGAACCCAGGCCGCACGTATTCAAGGTGAGCATGTTACCGCTTGAGCCACTTCCCCAGCCCCAAAAAGAATTATTTCAAAAGTAGAAAATCAAATTGAACTATGTAAGGAAAGAAAAGGAAGATGTGTTTCTTAAAGGGGGAGGGGATGTATCTTAAAATTACACAGGACGGTATACTCTTACCCCCATTTTATTATATCAGCACAGTTGTCGGGGGAATCTCTAGAACCCCTGAAGAGGTTTCATAAAACTCCATAGGCTATTTCTGATACATAGCCCTTCCTCCATTTAAGAGTCTCTTGGTTATTGTTTTCTAATACTTTCCTACATACTGGAAGGCATTCAGAGCCAGTTGCTGCTGCTACTGATAGACTTTTAACCCTTAATCATTATTTCAAAGAATTAGTATTTTTTGTTTATTGTTGGTGAGTCCCTGATACAAATTCTTCTCTAAGTGGCAAGTTCATGTACCCTTAGGGAACACAGACCAAGGTACTTTAGGCCCTTAGATACTTGTTGAATGAATATATA